AATTGCTAAGCTGCTAATGGAAAACACTATTTCGTTAGGTGAACTTGGGGAGGTGTCTGATATGCTCCTGAAAGGATGCGCTGAAATAGGACTCTGGGCTACTAGCTCACAGATGGCTTTATGGATCTAGTCCCATATTAGAATACTCATTTTTCGATTTCCACATAATATTTTATGTTGTTCTGTTTGTTTTTCTTTGCTTATAAGCCCCAAGTGTTCTTCATACTTCATAAATCCTTAGGAACTAGAATTGAAAGGAAAGGATTAGTTATCCCAAAGAACTTTCTGTAGTCCTATAAAAGACTCAACTACTTGTAGAAGTATAAGGCTGAAAATAATGCACATGTCTCGTTTAAGGGAGGCTCTCGCCCCTCCCCTATCAAATTTCTCAGGGAATAAAGAGTCATTTAAAAAAAAAATGAAAGGCACTAAGTACAGCCTATGGGAGCAAGCTGAATGTAAAAATTGAAGATGTGAGAATAAAAGGGAAATTAACCAGAGACACGCCAGCATATGGACATAAAAGGGAATAAGCAATCTGGATCAGAGGAGTCAGGAGGGGATAGACAAGCGACAAACCAAGTTGTGGAAGGGCTAGGTTAATTTTTTGGTCAACACCCAAGTTTTTGGCATGAAGTCCTAAGACACACAGATCTGCACGAGCTAGCTAAGAGTATAATCTTAACCAGTCTCTTGTACATGTCATGGCTTAATTCAGCTTATCGATTTTACAAGTCACAGGATAGTTTTGCCAAAATGCGATGTCCGTTTCAATTTCTAGTTCCCCCATTTCAAACGCGGTGTTAGCAAAACTGATTTTGATTTGTTCTTTTAAAATCTCATTTGTCTATTTGCTATTCCTCTCGACAACTAAAAATAGTAGGCTCAGAATTTTAACCAAAGCAGCCATAATGTTCAACTTGGGCTTTTTGACTGGAGGGCTCCTGGAAAGGTCGAAGCAGGTCTTTTAGATCGGCACAGTCCCTAATCTACAACAGTATGAATCAACATCCTCAACTGTTCCAGGCACCATAAAACATGTGGATCAGTATGGCTTTGTCTGACCCCGATGACCTCAAAGGCACAACACATATATACACAGTTAAGTACAGAAAAGAAAACTAGAAAGCAAGTGATTTTATACCCATATGAAATTATCTCTATAATTCATTACATTCAGTAAAGTCCTTTAACAAAGAAACGAGCACTCTCCCTACACCTTTTTGGTTACTAGAGCAAAATGAGATGAGATTCAAATTTAAAATGAGATGACTCTAGAAAATGTAATACATTTACTTAGTTTCTTTGAAGTATAAACAATGGTATTAGAATCTTTCCTGAACCTGGTTTCAGATAAGTCAGAGAAAGAACAAAATAATTCCCAACATATAGCCCATAACTTAAAACGGGGTCAGTAAACTTTTCCTGGAAAAGGCTAGGTAGTAAATATTTAGGGTTTGCAGTCCATAGCAGCCAAATAATAAACAAATGAGTGACGCTCTACTCAGTCAAACTTTATTTATGCATGTGGACATCTGAATTGAATAAAATTTTCACAAATAATTTAATATTATTCTTCTTTTCCAATTTTTCCAACCATCTGAAAATATTAAAACCACTCTTGGCCCTCCCTGGTGGCGCAGCGGGTTAAAGCACTGCACTGAGAAGCTAAAGCCACTTCCGCATGAGTTCGATTCCCGCCTGCCCCGGAGGTGACCATATGGCGTGGCAGACCTCTCCTGACCCGCCCGCTGCTCCCCTCAGCAGTGTACTTCGTCCATCTGCCTGTTCTGCCCCCCACTCTGTCTCTGGTGAAGCCTCTCGCCACCCCTGAGCCTCTGGCCTGTATCCCAGTTCTGTATGTACAAATAAAATAAATCTTTAAAAAAAAAAAAAAAACACCACTCTTGGCTTGCAAGCTGTAAAAATACAGGCACCAAACCAAATGTGGTCCATGGAAATAGTTGGCCGATCCCTGCTTTCAAGACTTGCTTCTCGGCCCCTCCCTGATGGTGCAGCAGGTTAAAGCACAGCACTATGAAGCCATCGCAGACATTGCAACATGAGTTTAATCCCCATCAGGGGGTGACCCGCATGGCGCAGCAGACCACTCCTGACCTGCCCACTGCTCCCCTCAGCAGTGTATTTCAGTATGTCTGCCTGTTCTGCTCCCCACTCTGTCTCTGGTGAATCCTCTCACCCCTCACACCTCTGGCCTATACCCCACCCAGCTCTATATGCATAAATAAATAAAGATATTTAAAAAATGGTTTAAAATTTATTACTGAATATAATGACCAGTCCGAGGGGACAAAAATGTACACATGCCTCCTAAGGTCTGGGTTCATGCCCATGCATCCCTTCTAAAGGATCTTTCTCTGTGGCTTCCTTTAGCCCATGCCCCTCAAAAATCCACCCACCCCCAAGGGACAGCTCAGCGATTCTGCCACACAGTTTCTGCACCCCAAGTTTCCCTTCCATGCCTTGAACTTTATCTCCTATTAAGTTGCATAGTATCTTTTACAACTTCTCTTACTAGCTGTAGATTGTAAATTTTCCCTCTGCTGAGTCTTGTAGCTGACTATTTCTCATTACATTTGTAAGGCTCAGGGAAAAAAAAAAGAACAATTCCTTTATTTGAGAATCCTGACATTTATTAGCATAATAAAACTCTCAAGATAAAATTGCAGTTTTCCAGACAGTAATTTCATTTGCAGGACAACTTACAAGGAATTTATTTTAAAGCCAGGTAAAACCTAAAATATATGAAACATGAAGAAAGTGCAGGCCCTGAGTAAAATGAAATAAATATGTTAGGCATGGAAAACTCAGCTGTTGTCTCTCACATACTAATTATGGGGGGCAGGAACAACAGCCCATGGATTCATGTCCTCAGACGATCTTGGTCTGCTTTCAAAGGAGCTTTGGAACAAAAAATGTCTTCTTAGTTTCTTCTAACACCTCGAAAATCATTGTCTCGTTACCCCACAACACATCTCTGCTGAGCACATCTTGTTGCTGGTACTGAGGTTGTCACTAGAGATACCTTTCATCTGAAAAGAGTTTTCACATTGATCATTTAACTGGCCTGTGAAAAAGCCTACCTATGGCCGCACATTCGTTTCTCAGTCACACCGGGTTTCAATGAGGTTTAATGACTTGAATGGAGTCACACAGTTGGTCAGCCACCTGCCCAAAACTCAGATTCAGCTCCTCTGAGTCTAATAGAGGATAATTTTAATAATAATTAGTTATGATTTTAAAGCACCTTAGAGTTCAGAAATCAGGTTCCCACCTTCTCCTTATTTTACCCATTTGGGGGTTCAATGAGACAGATGGGAGGAAAACCAGGTGGTAAAATTGATATGATGGAATTTATTTGTGATGACTGCCCCAAAGACAAAGCCTATGACCAGTGGTTGGATGTCGCTGCTTTATTCTAGAACACAGAGCCACAGGAGCAGGAAAGAGGGGGAGGAAGGTGAAGCAGAAAAGGAGGAAGACAAATAGGAGGGGTGGTGCTGATCTGGCTGCTGCTTGATTTCACCATGACTAGCTGCTCCACTGGGAAGGGCGTTTTCTAAAAGCCATATAAAGAACTGTCTGTCAGAGCTGTCTGTCTCCAAGGAGAATTGATCTAGCAAGCTCTATCTCCCATTGATCAAATGTTCACCCAGCTCTTCTCATCACATGTGTCCTAAATCTCAACAACAGGGGGTGGGCGGCTCATAGCCCAGTGCAAGGTACCACAAGCCTGGGCTCACAGGAAGCTGAACCACACATTGAGGAAGAGCAGAGTCCATGCAGAATCAGTTCCAGTGGTGGCAAATGGGGTGAAACAGTGGCCAAGGAGCTGAGGAACTGGTGAGGCAAGGGTGGCATAGAGCATGAGAGATGTTCACCCAGCTCTCAGGTAAGGCAAACCAGTTCACTGACAAGCGGTCTGTTGCTACATTCACTCTCATCCGATCCAGTGCTTCCAGCACTAGTAGACTAATAAGGGCAGAGTGGAAATGTGAACCCAAGTCTGCTTGACTTTAGAGTCTATTATATTCCCATTATAACATGCTCTCCCTCTGTGTACTTCACACATATGAAACATGGGTATGCTCAGTACACGTTCTCCCTGAGAATGATGAGGACTTATTGAAAGAGTCTTCTTAATATGAGGAATATAATCAGACTAAGTGGAAATAGGGTCAAAATTGCAAAGAATAGAAAATCAATCATTTGAGTAACATGCAGAAAGAGGGTCAAATCCTAGAGAGCAAAGGCCTTATCAGCCATCTACAAACCAACCTCGGATTTATAATTCACCCCAGATCTCAGCACATCTGTAGAAATACAAAGGACCTCTGCACTAGTGTTGTAAGCCAGAGCCAACATAAGCTTCCAAGAAAAAGGAAGGGGTGATAAAAGAAGAGGTAAGGAAGGAAGTCATCCGTTCTGGAAACTGGGGCTCACACGTGGAGGTGAATCCAATGGCAGTATCAATGAAGGTAATAATGAACACCATTGAAGATGCAGCATAAAACTCCTTTACTAGATCTCTTCTATAGCATCCATGACTTTACCAACAGTAATGAATAGGAAACAATTTACTGGGAATTATCACTAATTGGTATTAGAAAACATTCAGAAGTAGTGCATTCATTTAACAAGCATACCGAGAACGTCTGCCCTATGTTAAATTCAGAGTTCGGCACTGGGATTAATTTGGATTATTAAAACATGATGCATATGCTTTAGGAGCTCAGTTTAGGGCAGCCATGGCAAATAGGTTTCACCTTTAAAACTATAACCTTCATGAAAGAGTTGCACTAGTTACTAGCAATTCCTGTCCCTATATTTTGTGTCCTTGAAATATATTAGAATACTTGTTTCTCTAGGTAGTGGTGGATCTTCCAAAAGGCTGTAGCTATTTGAGCCAGGAGGTTCTTATGTATGGTTCAGAGAAAAGTATGGGCAAAGGAGTCCGATTGCTAAGGGGGAAAAATCATTCAAACAACAGATGGTAGTCTGGCGGGCTGTCTCTCTGTCCACAGGGTTCCTGAAGCAACTCTCCCCCTGAAACAGTGATAATTTCCTCCTAAAAGGGAAAAAAAGAACCAAAACATTATCAAGGCGGAAAAACGAACAACCACCAGGGTTCAAGATGAAAAGACAAAATCCTCATCCTCACTCAAATTTCTAGAAATGACAGGTGGAAATCTGCTTTTAAAAATGCACCCATAAGGCCCTCCCTGGTGGCACAATGGGTTCAGATGCAGCACCACAAGCTGGCCCCAGCCACCTCAGTGCAAGCTCCAGCCTGGCCCCAAGTGACCCAGATGGCCCAGCAGACCTCTCCTGTCTCTCCCACTGCTCCCCTCAGGAGTGTACTTCATAGATCTGCCTGTTCTGCTCCCCCCTTTGTCTCTGGTGAAGCCTCTCACTGCCCCTGCACCTCTGGTTTGTACCCCAGTTCTGTATGAGTAAATAAATAAACCCATAAAACTACCAGAAAATAAGGACATCAACAAAGCAAAAATGTGAAAGAATACTTGAAATCCAAAAGACATCCCAGTAGATTGTCAGAGGAGTGATGTGGGACAGGGACTGGAGTGGAGCTATGGTGTCCCCAGGGACCCCAGACAGCAGAGATCAGGCAGTAAGAACAGGCACGAAGTTCTGTGGAAGGCTGAAGAGGCCTAGAAAGTTCAGGCTCTTCAATGACCAAAAAATGAGTTAGTGTCAATTCCAACTCCTCCAGCATAGAGCGACTGGATTTGGGAAATGAGGATAATAGATGCATAAACAGGAACCTCCAACTCAAGGAGAAAAAATGAGCAAACACCAGGGTTCAAGACAAAAGGACAAAATCCTCATCCTCACTCAAATTGGGTCCTCCATGTTGAAAGATCACTTCATAGCCCAACTTACATACACATAAAGAAAATGACAGCCATTAAAAAAAAAAAAAAAGGATGCCAAACTCAACAGTCAAACTGACTCCCAAGGAAAGATCAAGTCCATAAAACAGAAAGAAACCTTAGGAGATGTACAGGAATCTCACCAGTAGAATAAAGCACATAAATCATCCATGAAACAAGAATGGGTTATTATTTAAAAAAAACCAATTATAGAACCTGGAAATGAAAAAGATGCCCATTTATATTTAAAGGAAAATTTCAACAGAACTGAAGAGCAGAATGGACATAACTAAATAGCAATTTGGTAGCTGGAAGAATTGACACATCAATAAGAAAGAGACATGTAAGTAGAAAAACGGACAAACGAGATGAATAGACAATTCACTGCAGAATCCAAGTGGCCATTAAACATCTGAAAAGCGTCTCAGCATCAGCGGTAATCAGAGAACTGCAAGCTAAACAACAGTGTCTCCCTCTCTGATGTTGAAATATTAAAATGATTGATCAGCCCCAGCAGCGGCGTGGGGCCACAGCCTTGTATCGTTTTGGCAGGAGCGTGAACTGGTGTGACATTTTTGGAGGGCGATTTGGCAGAGCATTTCAAATTAAAATATGCATAGTCTTTTATCCAACCCCTCCAGCTCCAGGCATCCATCTTATAGAAAGAGTTGCAATGTGCCCCAAATAATAAACCCCAGCAAGTGTCTGCAGTGCAGGTTGGTCATGCAAACACAGTAGACATCAAAAGAGGGGTGGAAAACTAAATTGTAATCTCTATCCAGAGCATGGGCACCACTTGGGAACTTTTCAGGGACACAGTACACGCACTGACTTGGAAAGATCCCAATGGCCTATTTCAATCACAGCCAAAAATTGCCTTTGGTGGACTGTTTTAGCACTTTACACACTCATGTCTCACTGAAACTGCACAGTGACCCTAAGAGGTGAGCATTATTATTAATCCCCCCTATTGAGCTGGAAGAAAAGGAATGAAAGTTTGAGTAGCTGCCCAAAGTTACAATAACAAAGTTGGGATTTAAAACTCTATACAGGGACCAGTTTTTTAAAAATACTTTAAAAAATTCTATAATACACTAAGCACATTAAAAAATTGAATTGCTGTGCAATGGTAAAGGATTACCCAGTGCAGGTGAAAAATAACAAAACTGTGTATTTCCTAATGTACATCAATTTCTACGTTAATGCCTAGGAAATGCTTGCATAGGCATGGGGCAAACTATTAGTTCGAGGTGGGAAATAGAAATGGGGATTTGAAATGAATGATGCTTACATTTCAAATTAGGTTTTATTTTTTCTTTATTTTCTTAGAATACAAGTTAGTTGTATCATTAAAAATTTTAAGCCTGGTTTATGAAAACTGGCCATCAGGTCTCCATTTGAGCATCAGGGAGACCTCTCGTTAGTGTCAAAGTCAAAATTGACAGTTTCAAGCCTTAGATTTGAACAGAACAGAGACCTTCAAAGATATCTGGCCTAGCCTTCCTCTGCAGGAACCTGTCCATCTCCCTGAGAGACAGCTGTTTACTCTCTGCTTGCTCCTTGCAGGGACAAGGAGCTCATCGCCACTCAGAGCAGCTGATCTTGGACAGAGAAAGTCAGAACTGTGGTAGAGAAGAAAAAACACAAGTTTTAGAAGCACACAGGTTTCAGAAGTCTCAGGCTTCACTCCTGGACCTCACTAGAACCAGCCATGAAAATTTAGACAGGTCGGCCCTCCCTGGTGGCGCAGTGGGTTAAAGCACAATACAAAGAAGCTTAAGCCGATTCTGCATGAGTTCAATCCCCGCCTGCCCCGGAGGAGATCCACATGGTGCGGCAGACCTCTCCTGACCCACCGGCTGCTCCCCTCAGCAGTATACTTCATTGATCTGCCTGTTCTGCTCCCTGCTCTGTCTCTGGTGAATCCTCTCACCCTCTGCATCTCTGGCCTGTATCCCAGTTCTGTATGAATGAATACATAAATCTTAAAAAAAAAAAAAAAAAAAGAAAGAAAGAAAATTTAGACAGATCGTTGAAGTCAGAGAAATGAGTTCCTTGCGTTGGTTCCCTGGCTTGTGAAATGGGGTAATGTGCATCCTGCACAGGTCAATCATGGCAGACACATGAGAGCACACATAGTGCTTGACACAGAAAAGGAGCCAGAACCCTCACATCCTCTCCTTTCCTCTTTCCTATCATTAAAAAGGGCTTTTTCTGAGATCAATAAATCTGATTAAATTCAGTTTTCTGGGATATGTTTGCCCAGTGTCTGTGTGTTTGTAAGTGGGTGATTTTCCATGTGTTTCACTTACAAGGTCAGTCAAGAGCTATCCCACAAAGAAAGAGGCATACAAGTCCAAGGATCCCCATTACAGTGAAAGATCAGCAGCATGTTCAAATCATTCTGCGAAGCTTTCTAAACTTGCAAAGCTCAGGAAGATGGGAGATCCCTGACCTGCCACAACCCTGGTCTTTCCCTGCTGGGTCACCACCATTTCTCCCAGTTACTACTGTTACCAACAGGCACATTAACACAAAGTTGCTTCTCTATACAAGATGGAAGTCTACATCTTACTCAATGTGAGGTCCACAGCAGGGAACATATAACAAAAAGAGATCTTGGGAAATAAGAATTTCCATACTACTGTACATTCATAGAATGTGTTGCATACAGTCCCTCACTTAGTGTTCATAAGAGCTCAGCTAAGTTTTAGCTACATCCATTTGCCCATTATGAGACTAAGGAAATGCCCGTAGGGCACTCCTGCACCAAGTGGTAAAGCTGTAGTTGGAGGCTCTATGAGAAAGGCTTCTCTATCTAAGTCTAGAAAGCTACCAGAGGCCTATCTAGAGTGTCCTCAAGAGAGATGTCCTGGGATGAGTTGGACAAAAGGCCAAGCAAGCAACCCCAAATGTTGACAGTAGGGAGCACCAGGTGCAAGTGTTGTCATGGGTGCATGCATGGTTCAGCCAGCGAGCCAGAAGAGGAGTGCACCCCAGAGCCTGTCCTGGCCAACCTCAGCTCTATTACCCAGAAGAGCTATGTCCCTGTGACTTCAAGAACCCTTCTGGGGCTCCTCAGTTTCCATTCCATTCCTTAGAGTGCCTGTAGTCTGCCTGTCCCTTCAGCTCAAGTTTCTATCAATTCCATCCCCAAATAGCACCCATTAGAGGGATACCTTGTGGAAATCAATGAGATCAGTGAGCGTTGCATGGCGATTGGGGTCCACTCCCAGGAAGCTGTAGAAGTCCCCAGAGGCATCCACCAGAAAATGCTTGAACCCTTTCTGCAGGCGGTAGGAGAGGGTGTAACCCCATATTTTGTCACTGACCCGGACCAGAAATGCTCCCTCAGTCATGTTCTCAAGGAGATCTTCAGCATCTTCTCGGCTAATAATTCCTGGTTTAAAAATAGAAAAAATAAAAATGATCAGTTTCTGCAACAGCCTCTTTAACCACCCCCCCACACACACACTTGTCCCTCATCCTCTAAGGACCTCAGGGACGGACTTCTTTCCACAGAGGGGTACACCTTGGCCCATCAGCTCGAAGCAAGCATGGAGGTAGAGCCTCTATCAAGATCTGAGTTTGTATGCTTTCCTCCAAATTAAGCCCCACTAATTTGGATTAATTGGGTAAGTAAAGTATAAGTAATGAGCCAGAATCATAGCACCTATTGATTACAGATTCAAGTCAACAAGCATCGCCCAGTGGAGAGCCTTAAGAGGCCCATTTTAATGAGGAGACCTGAGTGACTTATGATAGCTGCCTTGGTTATCTCTCTGGTACCCATGAACAAGCACCTGAAAAATGGTCTTTCCTCTATTTACCTGTGGCCACTAGGCAAACTGCTTCTTAATCAGGGCACATAATTAAGCTTCACTTCAGTTCTAAGTATAAATTTTTCTTCAATCCTACACAAGGTGGATTCACCACTGTGAGCATAAGATCTGGCCTCTGAGTTGTTACTATGTCAGTGCTGTACCCAGAAAGGCTTTGTGGGTGTCACTTTCCATAAGGCCAACATGTTTTGTGGATCAGCTCTGGAAGATGAGTGGGTGGGAAGAGATGGGGAATCAAATCAGAAGACCTACATTACTTGCCCAAATCCAGCCTGCATCACCCCTTTTCCCTTCCCAAGCCTCCTTGACCCTCAGCCTCCTAGAAGAGCCAGAGT